TCCAATTATACCTAGAGTAAAAAATCCACCTATTGAAGTCGCTCCAACGCAATTAAACATATAATGGACTTCATAAAAGGTTTACTTACAGAGGTAGTTTAGGATAGTAGCGGAGATTAGACCACGCGTACAACCACTATATATACTGAGCCGGCCGACTCGAGTGTAATCTAGGGGGGGGTCTTTGGATGATATTTGTGAAGATTTTGAAGGTAAATAGGATGGAGATTTGGTTAAAAGGAAATTTTTTTGTGTTTGGATTAAATGAAAGTTTTTTAGAGAGATTTAGGAGGAATATTGTGTCTTCTAAAATTATGAATTTTAGGTCGAGTTTTTATAAGATAGTGTTTTCTTGTGGAATATTTTGGAGAAATTAAGTGATTGTTTTTGTGGAAAATTGGTATTTTTCGCGAATAAGGATTTTTTTAAAGAAATGCTAGTTTATGTTTGTTCGGATAAATTAAGAAGGAATTTTCGTTGGCTTGAAAGTTAAATGAGTAGTCTAAAGTTTGCAGGCTTTTAGTTTTTTAGTTTTTTCGATGTACTTTTGGAGGATTCGGATAGATTGGAGAATTATGGATTTAATTTGGATTATTTTACGAAAGCGTTAATTCGGTTAAATTATCTGATTAGTCACAAGGGTCAACTATTTGTGTGAAATCTAATATGGATAAATAATTATTTAATAAATTTGAGGTGGATATCAGAATTTTAGAAGATTAGATATATGAGGATATTATTTAAAATTAATAAAACTAGAAATTACATGGGGAGAAATATAATTTTCCTGAAATTTAAATAATTTAAGATTCGAGAGAGTATGGAATTATTACTATTTAAGAAAGATTTTTGAAAATTGTTTATAGTATAATAGATTTTCGCTTAAATCTACGATTTTTAAATATTTAGCGTTTAATAAACTATCGCATATATGGATATTAATTCGTTATCGAAATTACAATTCTACATTTTTAAAACTTAAAGTTTAACTATGTAGTTGTTTTTTAATATTGCCTGAAGTTCTAGAAGGTTTTGGAGCTAAATTTTATTATTATTATTAATAATCTAGTGTGTGTCTATATCAGGCTTTTGGAAGCTCCCAGATATCGCGTTGCAGATGATGTAAAAGAAAATATTGTTAATTTGCGAATATACAATTTAAAATTCTTAATGTTAAATTTGAGGAATTTTGAAGTAAAACGATTATTTGGACAAAATTAACGCGTTGGATTTATGTTTTCGAGATTATAGGGGATAATGAGGTGAAGTTTTCCTTTAGGAATTCAGTGAGGAGTTCTAAAAAGGATAACGGAGGGTTTTTTGTAGTTTATAAAGATAAATTGAAGCCATTTACAAATGTGTTAGTGAAATAAAATAATAGATAATAGACAATAGATTATAGATATCAGGAATTTTAAAAGAAAATATTTTGTTAATTTTATAAATTTTGATTAATAAATTAAATTCAAAGCTAGTATTAAAGATGCATTTTTAAAATTAATCTAGCTTTTTTAAATCTAAAAATAAAGCTGTATAATTTTTATTTTAATTATTAAAAGTTAATTCCGAGCAACTCTCAAAACACACACTTATAATGTAGTTATCCATATAAATCAAATAAAAAATATTAATATTTATAAAAAAATTCATCTTTAATATTAATTTCCTTATTATTAATAAAAAGTAAATCAGGAATTAAGCTTGGTGTATTTAAAACTGATATTTTTTTGGTTTGAAGACACTTCTAAAAAATATGCTTTAAATTCTCATTTTAAGAAAAATCTAGATTTTATACATGACTACCTAAAGTATCTACTATCCATAAATTCCTCGAAACTAAATAAAATTCTTAGTATTTGTTATTTATAGTACAATTATCCTATCATTTTTACTTGAATTATTTTGATGAAAAAAAAAATTAATATTCCCAATTAAATAATTGAACTGCCTATTATTTTTAATTTTTATAAAATTAGGTTTTTTCATTATTATTTTCAAATCATCCAAATTTCATAACTAGAACTTTTTTCGAAAAGAAAAAGATGATATAAATGACGGAAAGTTACTATTGGGAGGCAAAAAAAGGACTAAAAACGTGATTATTATAACAAATAAAAACTTTTAGTATATATTAAGCATATTATTATTTAATATAACGAGTATATAAAAAGGGCAGATTTTATGTTTATAATTTACTTACTTTCGTTTTTGCCTAAATTTGTAAATAAAAATACACTACAATTTTCCGTGTTTTTCTTAGATGGATTAAGTAGAAATTTTTCTAAAAAAAAAATTCATTTGGATATATTATTGGGTTTAGGATTATATTTTCAAAAACGAGTTTTTATCTAGAAGATATTAGTTTTTTAAAACTGAAGAAGAAGTAAAAAAATCAGAAAAATATATTGTAAAAACTCTTTTTGGATAAAAAAATAATTTTACTTATCTGTTTGGACTAATTCTTTTTATTAAATATTGTTTTCAGGGGATATTTGTTATATTGCAAGGTCTATAGAGAGTATTATGGAAAGGATAAATGCCTTTTTTTTGGATGAAAAATTCATATAATTGTTCGTTTTAGTCTTTATATTTATAAATTTCGGATATTTATTTGATTTCTTCTTGTTTATATAGTGAAAAAAATTACTCATAAATAAATGTTTGAAAGGTATTTTATTCCGAAATAAAAATTTCAATATTATAAATAATCTTACTTTAATTCTGTTTTTTTTTTTTTATAAAGTGAAATAATTTTAATTTAGTTTTTGTAATTTTTTATGTAATCGATTAAAATTTATGTTTGAAAATTTTTTAATAACATTTTTATCTATGTTTGTTTTTATTTATTTCAGGAATTTATAAAGAAATGGTTTATTATGATATTTTTTTCTTAACTTATTTATATTTTTTAAGATAAATTTTTATTTATTTTTTTTATTTGGACAAGTATTCAGATTTTAGAATTATAGATTAAATTAATGAAATTATAAATTATAAAATTTAATGAAAATTCTTCTTCTTTTTATTCAGTTCTTTTTTTTTTGTGAAATAGTAATAGTAGTATATAATTTTGTATTTATATATATAATATTAAATGTAATTTTCTAACAATAATTAAAAAACAAAATAAAATATTATAAATATATAAATATATATATATATATATAAATATTATTAATATTAATACATATATTTATTTTATATACTTTTTATTAATATTTATCAACTTTTTTAAAAATTAATTGTTTGTTTTAAAAAAAAAATCCTTTAAAGACTTATTATTTTATTATTCCTTCGAATTAAATTAAATATAAATTTTTACAAAATTTTATATTATAATAATATAAATTCTTCGTTTTTATATATAAATTAATTAATTTTTTATACAAAAAAATATTCCCATTAATATCTTCTCAATATCATAATGGATTTATTCTATTACTCTTGTTGACTTTGAGCCTGTACTAACTAGATTTTATATTGAAGTTTATTCTTATTTTAATTAGAGTATTTTTGATATATACGTTAATCTAAAACATTTTAATTATCTTCTTTATAAAACTTTTCTTCCCTTCTTTTTATTTAGGATGTATTTTATTCATCATTTGCTCATTTTAAAATATTTATTTGAATTTAGATATTTATGTTTTACTCCAATGATATTTTAGTTAAAATGTTGTTTTCATAAGAATTTTCGATGTATTCAAATTCTTCCGGTTCTTAAATATCTTAAAAAGAATACTTGAATTAAATAATTCAGTATCTATTTATAGATAATTTTATTTTCGAGTAATTATAATATATTCGAAAGCTTAAATTAAATCATGATTATTGTATTCTATATAAATTTCAGAAATTAACTTTCTAACACATATATATTATAAAGTTGTAAAAATTAAAAATTTATTTATATATATTTTTACTAAAAAATAAAATTTATGCATTAAATACAAAATAACTTAATATATATTAATTTAAAAGTTCGATATATATGTAAGAAAATCTTAAATTAATGTTAATTAATACATCTATTGAGTTAATTTTTTTTTAAAAAAGCAGTGCAGTTTATCCTATTGACAAAAAATACCTTTAATTATCCTATATAAACTTTTGTATGATTTAGTAAATTTCTTCTAATTAAAAATAAATTAAAGAGAATATTTTTCAGTTTTTGTTCTCCTCCCTTCTCAAAAAAAATAAAATAAAGCTTAAATTTTCTAAATAAAATGGTTTTTATATTAATATTATCTTTTCACAAATTAATATTACCTTTTATGATAAAATTAAAATAAACAAATAAACATTTTTATTGATCAAAAAAATATAACTTGATAACTGTCCGAATAATACATATAGTATAGTAATCTGAAAATATTTTAAATTTTTTTAGCCTGATTATAAATTTCAGGTGTTTTTTTAGTATTTCATACAATTCAAACAATATTTTAAATATAAAAAAATAAGGATAATTTTAAAATCTAAAAATAATAGAAGTTTTTTATTTCAGGCTTAATATTTATTAATAATTTTCAACAATTATTAAAATTATATATAATTCTTGATAAATAAATAAAACATAAAAAAATAGTTTATTATAAAAATTTAATTATGTTTTAAGTTATAATATAGGTAGTTTAAATTATAAATTTAACTTTATAAAAATTTATTTAATTAATTGTAGCATTATTTATTTTTAAGAAGAATATCATAATTTATATTAGTAAAAATAGAATTAATATATATATATATATATATATATATATATATATATATATATATATATATATATATATATAAATATATTTACATATAAATATTTTATTTTTTTATTTAATAATGTAATCTTATCTTTTATATTAATAATTTAAAAACATTTTTATATAAAAAAACATAAAGATTTATAAAAACAAAAAAATAAATAAATAAAAAATTTTTTTAATATTTTTAATAATATTTAATGTATATTTTTTTTATTTACCATAATAAAATAAAAAATCTTATCACTCTAAATCTCTTAAATCTTATTTTAAATTTAACTCTATAACTTTTTCATTTCCAGAAATACCTTTGAGTTTTTTTCTCTGAAAAAATAAAAATAAAAATAAAAAAAAATAATAAAAAATACTTTCTTTAAAGCTAAAACATCCAAATTTTATCTATCTAACCAAACTTTAACTTTTTTATCCCCAACACTATCTTTAAATACATTTTTATCCTTTTAAAATAATTAAAATAAATTGAAAAAATATATTAAACTATAAAAATTATATTTTACTTATTTTTTAGTTTTAATTTTAGGTTATTTACAAGCTTTTTTAAAAGTTTCTTCTGGAGCAAATTAACTTCTTCTAATATTTAAACTAGCACTTGGTCCTATTTCAGTTAAAGAAAGATTTCCTCCTTTATCATTTTATTAATTACTTTCTATTAAATAAGTTTTCATGTAAATATTTTATTAATCAGCAGTAAAAACTAATGTATATTTCAATCCTTTTATTATGTCAATTTCTTTAACTTCTATATTCTCCACAAAGAAATCATTTAATAAATTTTTTATTCGTACAAAAGAAGGCTCAGAATCAAAAAGAGGACCCTAAAATACTAAGACAGGTCTACATTATGCAGGAATATCAACTAATCCTAATTTTTCATTTTAAGATTAAAGATTATTAATACCCAATTCAACCATATCAAGTACATGATTATCATAAATACGACCTAAAACAATATTATTAGGTCTTTTTTTATTATGAGAACCAAATAAAAAGAATGCACAATCTTGTTTTTAACAATAATTTTCTATTTGTTAAATTTCTTCAAAAGGACGAATTTCATGTCTTCTTGAAAAATTTAAAGAATTTATTTTTTTTAAAGAATACTTTAAAAATAAAAAATATATGAATATATAAATATATATATATATATATTATATATATATATATATATATATAATTTTTTTATATATTTTACTAAATCTTTCATAAAATTTGAAACTTATTCTGATGTTTTTTATCCTTTTATAAATAAGGTTTTTCTTATTCCTTCTTCTAATTATGGATTCTTTTTCTTTTGAAGTCTTCGTCCTTTTGCAGTTTTTGGAGTTCTTATTTATTTTTTAATTTTTGCAAATTATTCATCTTGTTCAATTTCTTCCATTTTTATTTTTTATTTTAGCTTTTATTTAGTTTGATATTATTTTAATTTTTTTTAGTATTTAATATTTATATACCTTTTATTTTTTTTAATTTTTTCAATAAATCTAGTTTTTATTTAAATAATTTTTTTGTTTTGTTTTACTTTCTTATAGATTTAAAATAAAATATTATTTTTCATATTTATATTAAATTTTTACAAATTTTTTTAATATAATTTTATTTGTTTTAAATAATATTATAAAAAATAATTTTTTTAAAAAAAAATAACTTAATATATCTCATTTTAATAAAATCAACATCTATTAGAAATTCATTATCAAGAATATGAAAAATTCATAATAAAATTATTTATATTACTAGAATAAGTAATTTGGTTATATAAAAGATATTTCAATAATTTCTAAGAATTTCTTATTATAATATTTTCTACCGAAGGTTATACTTCTTAAAAAAGTGCATTTTTTCAAGAATCTCTACATTAAATTTTGAATTTCTCGATAGTTATAATTATTTTTATATAATATTTGCCATATTAATATGTATAATACAATTTGATAGAAATATTCATATTATATTCTGTTATAGTTTTATGGCTACTCTAATAGTAAATCATAAATAAATTTTCCGAAATCTAATTTTTATTTTTAGTAAAGTAATAATAAATAATACCATAACATTAATATTATTTTGCAAAGTTTTTAAAATTTTTATTCAAAAAATGTATATTTCTAACTATATAATTCACAAATTATTAAGAAAATTATCAATTTCATTTTTTTTAGTAATTCAACTCGTCAGTTTATTATTAAAGCATTTCACTTTTTTTTTTTTAACAAAAAAACTGTATTTAATGAAAATATAGTAATTTTAATGAGCAATTATATGAACTATTAGTTTCTTAAAAATTTCAAATTCCCCCAGTATTATTAATTTACTTATTTCATCAATTTTCTGCGGCAATTATGTTTATTATAATATATCAAAAAGAATAAGTTTCTACTTTCCTAACCTTATCTCTATATTCAAAATAAATCTTCTATTATTAGGAGTTGCAAATCAAGTTTTACTTTTATAGTCTGGATTTAACACATTATGTTTATAGGTAAATTTATATGTTTTTCTATGGTTTCTTTTAATTAGTTTAATCTTTTATGACCGTAAATAAAATATTTAAACCCATAATTAGCCGTGTTGGGAATTTATAAGTATTTTATTTAGATATATATTAGGTTAATAGTTGACTTTTTAGGAATATGAAAAGTCTTTATTTTTTTATATAGAAAATATAGGGAAATGTTTTTTATTTTATTTTTAGGGAATTTTAAGTTTTATAATTAGATGATTTTTTGTGAAAAAGGATAGCATGGTAAAATTAGAAGATTAAAAAAAAATATAATTAAAGAAAAATTAAGAAATAATATATAATTAATTAAATAAAAAAATAAAATATTTAAAAATAATTATTAACATTTTAAAAATAAATCTAATATTATATTAAATATATTTCTATATAAAATATTTATATGATTTTTTAATTATAATTATTTAATAAAATAAAATTAATTAATACATAGGCTATTTTTAAAAATAAAAAAAATAGGAATATTAGAAACTAAAGAAGTTAAAAATATTATTAAATTATAAAAAAAAAAATTTATGAAAAAAAATATCTTGTGAAGAAATTTTTAATATATAATAAAAAAAAATAGAAATATAATAAAGAATTATATATCTAAGACAAATTTAAAATAGTTTTTAAAGATTAAAATAAGATCTAGAATAAATAAATAAATATATCTTAAAATTTTTTTATAATATATATTTAAATAGTTTATATTATTATATTTTATATGAAATATATATAATATTTATTAAATTTTAAAATTTAATATTGTTTGAATAGATAATATTAAAATTTTTAAGTAAAATTTATTCGATTATTAATTTTAAATTACTTTTATTTTAATAAAAAATATATTTATTAATTACTTATATACATAAAATATGATGACTTATTCTTTTTACATAAATTTCAAATATTAATTTTATTTCATATTAATAAAAATAGAAAAAAATATTTAATTATTATAAATAAAAAATTATAAAAGAAAAAAAAAATATATATTATAAAAATTTGTATTAATATAAAAATAATATTTTTAATATAATTTTTAATGTATATATATATATATATATTTTAATATATATAAATATATATATATACATAAATACATATATATATATATTTTATTTATTTATGAATAAATTTTATTTTGACTTTAGTTTTCCTTAAAGATTTTTTTAATCAGATTTTATATTTATTTTTTAAAACTTTAAAATTATAATATTACTTGTTTAAATAATATATGAAAAAATCTATACATTATAATAAGCTCTTTTATTGTCTTTATAATTTTATTTGTTTGTTATCTCAATAAATTAAATAATTATTAATTTTATTATTATAACATAGTTCGACTTTTATTTTAATTTTATTAATCATATATCATCTTATTATTTTCTTTATATTTTATTATTACTAGTATTTGAAAAATCCTTATACGATTATTTTATTATTTATTATTACTAATATTTAAATTAATAGATGAATCTTATTAATTTTAGTTAAATAATTATTCTGTTTATATTTAACAATTATGCGTTTATAAATCCTCTTTCTATTAACTTTGTGATAATTAACATACTGATTTTTTTTTTCTATTTCAAAATGATTATGTTCCGTTTAAATATGATTTTTTGTTTAAATATAGTTTTCGATTTAAATATTTTGTAATGATTATATTTAATATTTACTTTTTTCTTAAAAGCTTTTATTGTTTTTTACTTCTTCTAATTTTTTTCTTTACTAATTTCTCATTTCAATAAAATAATTGACATTATATTTTAAAAAATTTTAACTTTTTGCTAAATAATAGAATTTTTTTCTACTCTGAATTTTTTAAGGACTGCCTATTTCTTTAATTTTATATTATTATTAATTTTTTAAATTAGAGTATTTATTATTATAGATCATTTTATAAATTATATTTTATTAATTTTTAACTATAATTTTTAATAGTCTAATTTATTTTTTCAGAATTTTCAATAAAAATATCTTAATTAGCTAAATGTTTTAGATTACTGAAAGAAATTATAAACCTTTTATCATTTATATCAATTGATGATATTTTTCCTTTAATTCTAATTATAAATACCCTTTTATAGCCTAATAAATATTTGTTCTGAGATTTCCCTATTCTTAACTTTATTATTATTAGGCATTAATTTGATTTGTAATTTTTTTTTTTTTTAAATTTTGAATAGTTTTTCCTAAAATAATTTTTTTTTTCCAATTTTCCGATTTATTTATAAACTAATGAAACATTTTCCAAAAAATTATTTTAGAATTTAATTTATTCGAAGTTTTTTAACTTTTCTTTTATTTTAAATTCCAAAAAAAACTCTAAAATAATCCTATAAAGCTATTCTTCGAAGTTTTCCTTAATTTTGTAATTTAAAATGAATCTATATTGTCCATTCTTGATATTTTTACCAAAAACTGGAATTTTTTTTTATATAAAAGCAATTAAAATTCCCAAAATAAACCCAAATATAACAATTAAGAAATTCAAATATATACTATATTTTATAATATTATTCTGTTCGTCATATATGTTAATAGCTTTTAATTAAGATCCCATTTAAATAATTTCTTTATAAAATTCCATATATTATTTTTAACTAAAAAATACTTACTAATTAATAAATTATATGTGTATATATTATAATCAATTATTCCTTTATTTATTTAATAATTATTTCTTATTTTTTCATATTTATAAGATTCGATAATAATATATTTTTCCTAATTATTTCTTCTTTCATCAAAATACATGTATTTATTTGGATTATTTTCTAATAAAATAAGTTTATCGACTCTTCCCAATATTATTTTGGATACTAATATTGTATAATGGAAATAAAAAAAATACGAAACAGTAAATAATAGAAATTTTTACAATAAAAGCTTATATAAATTATCTGCCGATTTGTTCATTATATTGAAAATTTAATACATTGTTTTGTAAAAATAAAATAAAGTGAATTAATCTTTATACATATTTATTATTAAAGATGTAATTAAAGGAACTATAAAAATAGAAATATAGTATAAAGAGTTTAAATAATTATAAATTTCATAATCTAAATATTAATTATAATCACTTAAATACGCATATAAATATCTAAATTTCATTATTTATAAATTTTCATAAAAGTCTTTATTTTCTAAATAATATTCCGTAATTTAACCAAAAATACCAGCATATTTATCAGATAAATTTATTAAATTATTTTCTATAATATTTGTGGTACATTCGATTGTTATAGAGTCGGATTAGGTTAGGAATTTTTGTATTAATTAAATTAAAGTGTTGTATTCTTAAGAATAATCCAAAGATAAACAATCTTAATGAAATTTCATTTGGTAAAGAAATGTGTAGACTTTTTAGGATGAAAACAATATATATGGAAAAAAAAATATTATATATATTAGGTTAGTTTAAAACATTTATTATTAATAATTTTGTTATATTTGAAATTTTTATTTATTTTAATAATAATTATATTAAAAATAAAAATAAATTAATTAATAAAGAAATTTTAATAAATTCTTTATTTATATTTATTTAAATAAATATATATATTTTTTAGTATTTGCCTTATTAATTAAAAATTTATCTTTTTATATTTAAATAAAAATTATATATTATAAAATTAAATATTTTATTTAATTTAAAATAAAAATTTATATGAATAATTTTTATATTATTATTTATAATATATAATTAATATTTTATATTATAAAA